TATAAAAATCATAAAATATATCAAACACTGGCAATTTTGTTGTGTGTATGGAGTGTAGAGTAGAAGGAGGACCATCTCTGTATATGAAAAGTGTCCCTAAAAACGCGTCCAATAAGGGTGGCGCTGCAGTAGCATAGGATAAATTTAAAAAAAAGCGCCAAAATTAATTACAATAAGATGGAGAAATAAACAAGGACTGACCAATCCGCTTGGTTTTGTACTACGTAAATAGTTGAGGTTTTGTATACTGGCATTTTACTAACTACTCTAGTCATGAAATTTTTTAAATATTTTAATTCAGTTGACTTCACTCCGTCTACAACAGCTATATTCATATCGTAGTTTTTCAGACGCCAGCGCTATTGTGGTAGGTTTTGGAACCTCTATTTTCAATATATATTGGGACACTTTTTCAACTTTCGCACCTTATAAGATGGTTCTCCTTCTACTCTACACTCCATAGTTGTGTGTGAAAGTTATAACCCCTATAGAGTTTTGGCGGGAACTTGACCGGCGGCGGTGTGCTGCTCCTGTATTATAGTTTAAATAATAGTTTGAAGTGGATTTTGATATGTAAAAGTGGTGCAATTTTATGTATTAACTGACTACGCATGTGAACTATTAGTGAAAACGGTGAAACAAGTGCTCTGATGGTGATGGATTATCAAGATAAGCTGTTTGTTTGCATAGGCGCCTTAAGATACCATCGCCAACTGTCAGCTGTTTGCTGGCTCAAGTTGCCGTCAAAATCTTCCAAGGCCTGCACAATGTGATGCATCAACATATTGTGAAGCAGTGAAATTCTATACATTCAAAATAAAAACGACAAGGCTGTTTGGCATAGCACCTTTGCCTGCTCTTTCGAGCGAATAATTATTTTATATTTTTTTTTAAATTAATATTAAACTTTAATAAAAACAACAACATATAACCCCTATATGGATAACTTTGACACAGATGAGATTTGTCTCAGGAATCTTATCTTTTATACATTTTATAGCTTCAAGGTAACATAAGTTTAAGTTTTTAACAAATTTCAGATGCAGTGGAGTCTTACACAAGTCAATAAAACCATAAAGTTGCAGTTCTATCTTTATTTAAAAACTTTGGTAATCACATTTTTTTATAGGAGAGGGGACAAACGAGCTTGCGGCTCACCTGATGGTAAGTGACTACCGCCGCCCATGAACAACCGCAACACCAGGGGAATTGCAGATGCGTTGCCGGCCTTTTAAAAAGGAGTAGGCTCTTTTCTTGAAGGTCCCTAAGTCGTATCGTTTCGGAAAAATCGCTGGTGGTAAACTATTCCACAAGGAAGTTGTGCGAGGAAGAAAACATCTTCTAAATCGCACAGTGGTGGACCGCCAATCATCCAGATGGTGTGGATGGTATCGGGAGTTTTGCCGCGATGTGCGTTCGTTAAATTTTGCCGGCTGGGATTAATCCGAACAATTCCTCAGAGCACACCCCATGGTAGATGCGAAAGAAAATGCAAAGGGATGCAACATCTCTTCGCAGTGCCAATGAATCGAGCCGATCGGAAAGGGCTCGGTCGTCGACGATTCGAGACGCTCTGCGCTGGATGCGGTCAAGTGGAATGAGCTGGCACTGGGGAGCCCCAGCCCAGAGATGGGAAAGTATTCCATGTGAGGCCGAACCTGCGCCTTGTGAAGTTGCAGGCGTTGAGGTGGCATGAAATACTGTCCCGCTCTGCTGAGCACGCCAAGCTTTTTAGAGGCCAATTTGGCCTTCTCTTCCAAGTGACCACGAAACTGCACGTCACTCGATATGTCGACGCCGAGGATTCCGATACTGGCTGAGGCAACAAGTACACACACACAACAAGTGCGGTTCTCACAGCGCTCGGTTCGCAGAGCACTCCTCTCCCTTGACATCCACAAGTCGAGTGGGCCTGATGGAATCCCCCCAATTGTGCTGAGGACGTGTGCTCCGGAGTTGGCACCGGTTCTAATGCGTCTTTTCCAGTACTCCTACTCCCTAGGCGTAGTTTCGAAATCATGGAAGACAGCTTTTGTCCACCCGATCCCTAAAAAAGGCGACCGCTCAGACCCGTCCAACTACAGGCCTATCGCCATCACCCCCTTGTTCTCCAAAATAATGGAATCCGTTATAAACTGACAGCTCATCCGGTACCTTGACGATCACCAGCTGATTAGTGACCGCCAGTACGGTTTTCGTCGGGGTCGATCAGCTGGTGATCTTCTGGTCTACTTAATTCATAGATGGGTGGAGGCAGTAGAGTCCAAGGGGGAGGCGTTGGCCGTTAGTCTGGACATTGCGAAGGCCTTCAATCGGGTTTGGCACAAAGCGCTTCTTTCGAAGTTCCCTTCCTATGGGCTTCCCGAGAAATTATGCAATTGGATCACCAGCTTCCTTGCAGATCGGAGCATCAAGGTCGTTGTAGACGGTGCATGTTCTGACTACAAGCCTATTAACGCTGGTGTTCCACAAGGCTGTGTGCTATCACCAACGCTGTTTCTTCTGCATATCAATGATATGTTGCTAACTGGTAACATTCATTGCTATGCGGATGACAGCACTGGTAATGCTCTATACACCGGCCGTGCCAATATTTCTAGGGAAAACGTCGCCGAGTACCGGAACAAACTTGTGTCTGAATTCGAGTCTTTGCTGAACACAGTCTTGGATTGGGGGCGACTAAATCTAGTCCAGTTTAATCCTCAGAAGACACAAGTTTGCGCTTTTACCGCTAAAAAGAACCCCTTTGTCGTATCTCCTCAGTTTCAAGGCACTCCCCTTCTTGCCTGAGCCAGTATCGGTATTCTCGGAGTCGACATATCGAGTGACGTGCAGTTTCGTGGTCACTTGGAAGAGAAGGCCGAATTGGCCTCTAAAAGGCTTGGCGTGCTCAGCAGAGCGGGACAGTATTTCATGCCGGCACACCACCTGCAACTTTACAAGGCGCAGGTTCGGCCTCACATGGAATACTCTTCCCATGTCTGGACAGGGGCTCCCCAGTGCCAGCTCCTTCCACTTGACCGCATCCAGCGCAGAGCTGCTCGAATCGTTGACGACCGAGTCCTTTCCGATCGACTCGATTCATTGGCACTGCGAAGAGATGTTGCATCCCTTTTCATTTTCTTTCGCATTTTCTACGGGGAGTGCTTTGAGGAATTGTTCGGATTAATCCCAGCCACTAAATTTCACGAACGCACATCGCGACAGAACTCCCGATATCATCCACACCATCTGGATGATTGGCGGTCCACCACTGTGCGATTTAGAAGATGTTTTCTTCCTCGCACGACTTCCTTGTGGAATCGATTAGTAGCGCTAACGAGTTGATACATTGTACCATACGCATGGTATTTAGTCTGTGCATTGTATTGAGCATGTTCAAAGTTTGAGTTTTGGCGGGAACTTGACCGGCGGCGGTATGCTGCTCCTGTATTATAGTTTAAATAATAGTTTGAAGTGGATTTTGATATGTAAAATTGGTGCGATTTTATGTATTAACTGCCTACGCATGTGAATTATTAGTGGAAACGGTGAAACAAGTGCTCTGATGGTGATGTGATTCTCAAGATAAGCTGTTTCTCTGCATAGGTGCCTTGATATACCATCGCCAACTGTCAGCTGTCTGCTGGCTCAAGTTGCCGTCAAAATCTCCCAAGGGCTCCACAATGTGACGCATCAACATATTGTGAATCAGTGAACTATGAACGATAATTATACATTTGGGGAAATTATAATAAACCGAATAAAAATACTCAAGACTTGGCCTAAAGGTCTAGATACCACACCATAAACTCAAAAAAAAATGTTCAAAGTTTTCTTCCTTTTGGCTGAATGTAATATACTTCTGCCTATAATCCAGTTGAAGAATATAAAAAAGAAAGAACCTGACAGCTGTCAAATGTAGGCAGGGCTGTATTTAGAATCTTGTACTTAGGCCTTAGCCTTACACAATAATACTCTTTACTTAATTCTTCAATACTCATTAATCTTAAGAATAATAATTTTATTTTTCATTATCAATAATTATCATTCAATTATTTACCATTTGTTAATAAGATGTTCGCAAAAACAATAATATGACACTATGATGATATGATTACTTGAACTTGAAGCATATTCTGAAGAACAATCAATTTTGTTAAAGTTTTTGCTTGTTTTTTCGTAGGTACTTCTTACTAGTTTGTGATGTTTACCTAATTTGTTTCACCAGTTAGTAGTATGTTAGCGAAACATTGTTTTGTATAATACAAAAATAAATTAGTTTTCTTCTCTTTGGTTAAATTAGGTAAAAAATCCCACATAGATTACAAACATTAAAAATCGTATAGTCAATATTATCTAAACGTTTTCTTTTCTTTTGTTCCGTTTTTTCTCTATTTCAGTTCAGTTTAAAGAATTCAGTAATGATTATAGCGGAGTGAGAGACATAATATCTACGAACACTTAACCATATAAGTGCTCGTAGCATAATATAAAAACTCTGAGCTTTCTGAGTAGCTCTTAGTTCTTAGATATCTGAGACTGACCTCTGACTCTGACTGAGGGGAAAATTCAGCCCTGTACTTTTGTCAGAATCTTTGTATCACAAATTATAAAGTTTCTTTGTATTACGTGTTGCTAACTATTAAATATATAGGTAGATTTTAATCTTTATCACTATACATATTATGTTAAAATATTACTCCTACCCCCATACATTTTGATTCCTAGACCATAGATTGGTTCAGTTACTGCCCGTTTATATTTTCAGAAGATTTAATGATTAAGCTCCGTTTGTAAATTTGTAATTTGTGTCATAGTCATAGAACGTAACGTTATAAAAAGTGAGAGTAAAGTCAAGTCAAGGTAATCGCATAAGGCGAACACGAACCTACGGTTACTTATTTCTTGCTTATCGTAGGCCAGTTGTAGTAACTTACACTAGAGTACTAATTATAATAATATATCTGATCTTGCTTATAATTTAGTTAGTTGTACAACGTGACAGAAGTAAGACGAAAATGGCAAGTGGAAGAATTGTTGTTTATGGTGGATGCGGTGCATTGGGTGCCGCTTGTATTAACCATTTCAAACAAGCTAATTGTTGGGTAGCCAGCGTTGATTTAAACCCAAATGATAAAGCGGATGTTAACATCACAGTCCCAAAGGACGCTTCGTGGTTGCAACAAGAAGAACATGTTGTTAAAGAACTTGGTACAGCATTACAAGGTCAGAAAGTGAATGCGATTATATGTGTAGCTGGTGGTTGGGCTGGTGGAAACGCAGCCAAGGATTTAAGTAAGCAAGCTGATTTAATGTGGCGCCAGTCAATATGGAGTTCTACAATTGCTGCCACCCTTGCTGCTAAATATCTTTCTCCTGGTGGATTGATTGCATTAACCGGTGCTAAAGCTGCTTTGGAAGGGACTCCAGGCATGATTGGATATGGAATGGCCAAGGCAGCAGTACACCAGCTCACAAAGTCCCTTGGAAGTAAAGATTCTGGGCTTCCGGAAAATTCATTAGCTGTTGCCATATTGCCCGTAACACTGGATACAGAAATGAATAGGAAATGGATGCCTGAAGCTGATTTTAGCACTTGGACTCCATTGTCATTTGTTGCACAGTTGTTTGATAAGTGGATTAAAGGGGAAGAGCGCCCAGCGAATGGAAGTTTGGTGGCACTTGTCACTAAGAATAATGTTACTGATTTGATTATTCAATAAACATGGGTCAAATATATAATATTTATGGAAAATACAAATTTTTATCTCAATGTTAATTATAACATATTATAATGTTTTAGGTAGTCCTTGCCTTGTGCTACATATATTGCACAATTATTGCTACTATGTGTCAAATGTATTTAAAATGTTATAGCTTTTGATGTCTTTTTTTACTTTGTAATTTTTCTAGATAACAAGGGAACAAATCTTATTATTTATAAGTTGAAATGTGATTTCTGCTGTGTAATGTGAATTTATGCATGATGATGACCTAAAAAATGAAACTTGTTATTATGTGATATGAATAAATGGAAGTTGTAATATACCTCTGCTTTTTATTTCATTTTGGTTCTGGGGAGTAAAGCTTATACTGCATATGAAACTTATTTGCAAAAGATCTTGACACTGATATGAAATGGAGTGGAGCAAGAATTGGGCAACTGTTTTTGTGATGAAAGATTTTTTTAAATTGATATTTAGAATAGATTTTTGGTCATCTATATGTACTTTCAATGTTTTGCTAAATATTGATGTATAATTTTATTGAATATACTTTAAGCATCCTGTGCTATGTAGTGGCGGTATAAGAATAGCCACCACCCCATATAGGTGACAAAGGGAAACAAACCAGGAGATAGCAGCATCTTCTTGATAACAACTAAAATTATAAAAACTGGTTGCCAACCTGCCTGCTCAACGTGGCAACTATGGCGAAACCTATGGGGCAATCTATGGGGAAGGCCTATATTCATCAGTGGACTTTTATAGGTTGTAATGCTAATGGTAAGTATTCTGTTAGAAAGTGCACTCAGGTACTTTATTATAATCTATACAAATAAATAAAACTGAAGTGTCTGTTTGTAATAATCAAAATAACAACTTTTACTAAATGCATATTATGAAAGTATATACGGTACTTAAACAAAAACACAATTTTTAAATTGTTTGTCTGTCTGTTCCGGCTAATCTCCGAAACGGCTGGACCGAATTTGACCGGACTTTCACTGGCAGATAGCTAATGTTATAAGGAGTAACTTAGCCTACTTATATTTAAAAAAAAAACTAATTAGGGTTCCGCGCAACAAAATTAAAACCCTAAATTACACGCGAGCTAAGTCGCGGGGAACAGCTGGTCATAAAAATAGTATATTCATTCACATAATGTGACCTTTTTATGGTACCTATTAATTCTGTCATTTAGGTGATTAGTAATAGTAGAAGTATTTCAGATATTTTCCTTATGGTTGAAATCAATTTTTGGGATTTTAATTTTTAGTTTAATTTGTTAGTTTTCCTTGTAAATACCTACTTAGAATGCAAAATGGGAATCCCTAAGTTATTTTAATAAAAAAATCTAGAAAGTTACTTCTTTCTGCTTCAATTTTTAATATTTTAATAGGTATGACAGTTCTTTTATTTCTTTTCTTTAAAAAAAAAAACGTTACCTCCATACTAGGATTTTCTCCTGTATCATGAGGCAGTTTACAAACATAGATTCCACGAGGACAAACATCCAGACCCGGAACAGTTATTTGTAGGCCATACAAATACTTGTTCCGTGCGGGGTTCGAACCCGCGGCGTCCAGCGCAGCAACTCATTGCTAAGCCACTGTGCCACGGAGCCGTCTAAGATACATAGGTAAGTTTGTCGACAACTCATAGATAGGTATGATTCTGAGAATTTTCAAAGTCCGATTTTCCCGTGTCTGAGACCAAGAGCAGCGACAAAGGTGTAAGATGACTGCTGAATAAATAATTTTGAATTCGCTACTGCAATATTCAGTACTGCCAAGGGTGGCAATTATGACAAATATTCCCTTCTATGACAGTGTCTCACATTCATCAGTGAACTATTTAAGGGCTTATGATAGTAAGGCGTATGGATCTCTCCAAACGCCATCCTCTTTTATTAGTCATGCAACTTTCTAATTAAAGAACGAGAGTGGCCACTGGAAAACAGCGGTATGTTCATACAAAAGTACAAAACCTAAATTTGATAAGCTACAATAAATTAGAGCAGCCTTATCAGCGCGCGAGGGTACTGGCATAGGCTTGTGTCTATACCCGAAAAGGTAGCGGTTCGTGGCGAAAGCAATCGCCATTCACCTCCCCAGAGGTGACCATAAGCGTGTAATTCTGTGCACGTCTCATGACACATTCTTAAAGAGGCCTTCGTCTCGCAGTGGATTTAAAAAGCGCGGATGGTAAGAGCATAAATTTTTAGGCCCTAGCAGAATATACCTGCGCGTTTCGTGCTGGCTTGCAATATGATGGTGCCATAAGGTATTGTATTTTGAATACGGAACAGGAAAATATAAAAAAGATTCGTGGTGAGCGTTATATACTTTTACAATTAAAGTCAATGAATATATCTTTGGTTAAATCTCTCCATTTAAACCACAATCGGTAATGAAAATCGCTATCGACTTCCAAAGATTTAGCAAATAAAAACTTTTTATTTAATGAAAACGATATTGTTCTTTAATAAAACTACAATGTCACATATCGGTGTCGAGGAGTAACATAATGACTTTTACAAAGTTAAGTAAATAGGTACATATTATGAATGCGACATTTGTGGTGTTATTATTAAGTTATATTTTCATTTTCATTCTAATGATTATATTTGAAGATCTTTATTTCATGAATAAGGAGTTTAACGGGATAACAATGTTTTCACAATCTCAACTTCATATTACGGACGTTATCAACTACTGCTAATTTATAAACGAAGCTCTGGCGACTGATAAATGGAGCTATGCCCATTGATCCATTATAAATGCCAAACCCAAATTCAGACCGGTGATGAAGCAGTATCATCAGTGCGAGGGAACTCATCGGCTCAACGTAGAGAATCTTTTTAATGCTTTATTTAATAGAGGATATTCCCAAAGAGACCTATGTAATGTAACCTACATTACATAGGTCTCTTTCAGATCAGATCACTAAGATTACTATTTCATACAGTAAGAAATTTATAAATGATTCTAAACAGAAAAAAAAACGTTGATAATTATAGGTGATGAGGTATCTTAAAAATACTTAAGTATTAAATATCAAATGTTAAGCCAGCGCCAGTTACAAGAGGGTAAAAGATAAAAGTATAATATAATATTTGAATTTATTTTGGTTGACTCGACAACCGGGCAACTTTCATTTTCTTTTGTATTGGAAAGTAGGTAGACTACATATTATATATGTAACTATGTAAGGTGCCCGCGGGTAAAAACGCCTGTCGGCTAGTAAAGCCTAAGTAACAAAAATCGTATTTATAATAACCGCACTCGCTTAAGGAGATTATATTAGACTCCTATTGCACGATAATGTCTCGACAAGTTTGCAGAGACGCGCTACATCGCATCCTGCCACCAGATTTGCATTTTTAGGGTTCCGTACCTCAAAAGGAAAAAACGGAACTCTTATAGGGGTCACTTTGTTGTCCGTCTTTCTGTCTGTCTGTCAAGACCCTTTTTCTCAGGAACGCGTGGAGGTATCAAGGTGAAATTCTTATGAAATACTCAAGTCTACTGTCCCTTCAACATCAAAAGATACAGTCGTATATGGCGCAAATTTTCGACATTCGCAAGGGAATCAGGGAATCAAAACCTACAGGGTCATCATCATCATTACAGCCCTTCACAAGTCCACTGCTGAACATAGGCCTCCCCCAAAGAATGCCACAAAGCACGGTCCTGAGCCACCTGCATCCATCGACTTCCTGCATATCTTACCAGGTCGTCACTCCATCTAGTGGGGGGACGCCCTACACTTCGCCTGCCGGTACGAGGCTGCCACTCGAGAACCTTTCTTCCCCATCGGTTGTCGGTTCTTCGAGCTATATGGCCGGCCCATTGCCACTTCAGCTTACTAATCCGTTGGGCTATGTCGGTCACTCTAGTTCTACTGCGGATATCCTCATTTCTGAGTTTATCACGCAGAGAAACTCCGAGCATAGCCCTCTCCATAGCTCGCTGAGCGACCTTGAGCTTCCTCATCCGGCCAGCAGTGAAGGACCACGTCTCAGTTCCGTATGTCATCACTGGCAACACGCACTGGGTGTACAGTCTCGTTTTCAAGTTTTGAGGTATACCTGACGAGAAGATGTGCCGTAATTTCCCGAACGCTGCCCAACCGAGTTGAATCCGTCGATTGACCTCTCGGTCGAAGTTGGACTTACCTAGTCGGACTATTTGTCCCAGGTAAACATACTCGTCAACAACTTCGAGCTTAGTGTTCCCAAAAACTACCGGCATAGGTGTGACATGGACATTAAACATGATCTTTGTTTTGTCCATGTTCATCTTAAGACCTATCCGTTGGGAAACACTATTGAGGTCATTGAGCATAGTGCTTAGGTCCTCCAGCGATTCTGCCATAAGGACTATATCATCGGCAAATCGAAGGTGAGTGATGTACTCGCCATTGATGTTGATACCGTATCCTTTCCAGTCCAGAAGCTTGAAAACATCTTCCAATGCAGCGGTAAAGAGTTTCGGGGATATGACGTCACCCTGTCTTACACCTCTCTGCAATTGGATAGGTTTCGTACTCTGGTTCTGTACTCGGATAGCCATCGTAGCCCTACTGTACAAGCACTTCAACACTTCGATATACCGACAGTCAACTTGGCATCGCTGAAGGGACTGCAGCACCGCCCAAATTTCGACGGAATCAAAGGCTTTCTCATAGTCCACATACGCCAGACATAGTGGCAAATTGTACTCCTCGGACTTCTGTACAATTTGGCGAAGGGTATGTATGTGGTCTATGGTGCTAAAGCCTTTTCGGAAACCGGCTTGTTCGGGAGGCTGGAAGTCGTCAAGTCTGCGCGCGAGACGATTCGTAATGACTCTCGAAAACAGCACGTAGACGCGGCTCAGAAGGGAAATCGGTCTGTAGTTCTTCAAGAGAGCGTTGTCGCCTTTCTTGAAGAACAAGACCACCACACTTCTGCTCCACGCCTCCGGTGTAATGCCACCATGGAGGACGGAATTAAAGAG